TGGACCAAAAATCAAGTATTATTTCATGTCTGATGATGAACTCTAGAAACCCAGTGTCAAAATACTCAAAACAGAATACATCATTTTTATTATTATACACCTAAAAGTTACAGTGTGGATGAGTAAAATACACACACAAGCACTGATCTAGATCAGGATATCTAGGAATATTGCAAAGATATTTTTACTCAAAAAGCTTACAAGCCTATTGAAGAACAATTGCAGATATTTTTTGAATCAGAGGGAAAATAATGATCAAAAACAGCAAAAAGACATAAAAACAGTGATGACTAAAATGGCAGTATTTTAATGCTTAGAAAAATAAACTTAATAGCAATTTTGAAGAGGAGCAGAGGAATCTGAATTGAGCAATGGAAACTCATTCCTGAAAACATTTGAAAATAGAATTCCATAGTCCAGTAGGGGGCACTGTGTACATCTCAGAAATTGACAACGCCTGAAGCTGACTCCTGAAACACATGTAATCTCCTAGACCAATTCTCTGTCCAGAATTACAGGTTACAGCTCTGCAGGTGTTTCTCAAGTCTGCCCTAGTCTCTCTGGCAGTAGAATTGTCCTTGTGCTGAAGAGATGTAAGGAGGTGGTGATGGTGATAGAAAAAGACTCACAATGCACAGAGTCACCATTTTCCCAATACTCGGGGAACCAGAGTCCAGTGGGGAATCTCTGGAAATTTACAGCCATGACTTGAAGCCTGTCACATTTCCCAGCTTTCTTCCATCTCTGTCAGGTATCATGGACATTAAACAGGACTGCCTTCAGGATTAGCACACTCATTTCTTGACTCTTTCCTATTAGCTATTTCTTTTCAGGGACTCTTTCTGTGCTGTGGTGATGCTGGCGAATGACACTCTAGAGCAGTTACTGATCCTTTCTTTCTATAGTGGTTAAAGAGGTAGCCTTGCCAATCATCTGTGCTCTGATTCACCCAACAATTTACAGGGATCCACAGTCTCCTGTCATTTTTTACCTTAAACATAATGTTGCCCTGGGGCTCTAGGGTTTCAAGCCTGAGGAAAAAGCTGCAGGCTACTGCATGCTACCCTACAGTGGTGCTCAGCACAGTGAGACACACATGGAGAAACAAGACATAAACATGCATTTACCTGAGCCTGGATATAAACCCTGTCCTTTGATAGTGAGATCCCATGACCAGACACTGTGCTATCCTAACTTAACTCTCCAGAGACAAAAAGGTAAAGGGCAGCATCTGCCTTCATTTCTGATCTACTTAGATTTATATAAGGGAAGGTATTTGTCAACTACTTTGATAAAGAATGAAAAGTAAAACAAGATTGCATATATTTTATTCCTTCCTTAAATATATTTATATGTAAGACTAGAGAAAACAGGGCTCTGGAGAGAAGCATTCTCCATGATATTCATTCTATAATTTACATCAAAGTGAAATAACGGTTCATTCATATTTTCTAACCATTGGTATATTATCTTTCATTTAAAGATGATGCAACTACACTGTATAGTTTTTAAATGCTGTGAAATAGTGTATAAATAATATATATGAACATATGAATACACAATTACACACATACACACACACACATACACAAACATGAAATAATCTCAATTCTGACATTAGGTTAACATATTTCCCCCTACGGAAGATTTGTTGATATGATAAACATGATTGCCATTTATGCAGTCTTATTTATCAGATTGTAAGTACTATTACAGATGTCTTTAATCAGCTGAGCTCATGCTGAAGCACAGTGAGTCTCAAAAGATGGTTTTGAGAACACAGAGAGGTAGTGAGGATTGCCATGTGAAGACTGATGTGCATATATACCTTTACAGCTGTGGACCAATGATTATCAAAGACTGTTCCCAATCAAGAGGGACATAGGAAGTAAGGAGGAGGTGACATGGGGTGCTTAAATCAGTAGGTTAATTTTGGCAGTCTGTCCTCCATGAATCACTATGAGATAAGATGCTTGGCTTGTGTTAGCCCACAGGTTATGTATGTCCTTATTGTCAACCCAGGGAACTAATAAAATAAATAAATAATCATTTGTAAATTATTTCTGAATTTTCACTCATTTCTTTCATCTTGATTCCTTTCTTATCCCCAAGGATATTGAAATATTGGCTCATATTTCCAGTTTTATGACTGAAACTAAACTCTAATGTTAAGCAACTGTCAGTCTTAAAATATAAATGTATCTTTCCTGTTTCAATATATTGTACTGTAAGCAAAAGACACAGAAGTGCAGCTTGTAGGAGAAACATTTACTTTAAAGATATCCAGCTGTTATGTGTGATCATGCAAGCCTTGCCTTGTCATTCAAAACTTAGTCTTGAATACTTTGTGAATTTCGTGAAAACAAGGGACATGCCTATCATTTTAGCAGGAAATATTAAGAAATTTAATCCTGGAGTGCAATGCACAAAATGGGTGTTAGAAAGTTCTCTTGTTGTACAAGGCAGTAGGAAACAGAATAAAAAGAGGAATCAGAAAGTTTGCAACTGAAACCACAGCAGTTTGTAGCCTGTGTTAAATTAATACTTGTTAAAACACATGGTGCACATGGATCCTGCATCTGTGGGTCAGAAGTGGGGACTAACATCTTTAATACATAAAGAAATATATATATATATTTCTCCTCTTTTTCACATATTGTGTTTATACAGCTCATTTCACTCCACTAGCAAGTGCCCCTATATGATGAAACATCAATATACTTTTCCAGGAATGGATTCTACCAAAGTCAAATGAAACCCAGCTTTTCTTTCTTTTTTTCTCTACCTCCATCTTCTTCCCCCAGACTGTCTGTCTTTCATCGATTTGGTGAACATTCTATCTCAAGTGTCTTATTACTTTATTTTAAAAAATTGACCTGACTGTGGTGGCACATGATTTTAAACTGAGCATTCAGGGGGCAGAGGCAAGTAGATCTCTGTCCATTCTAGGACATCCTGGTCTGCTGAGACTTCAAGGAAATCCAAGGCAACATAGAGAAACCCTGGCTCAAAAGTAAACAAAGAATATTGTTTTGGTTTGGTTTTTTTCAAGACAACCTCTTACTATATAGTTCTAGAGGTCCTAGAGCTCTCTGTGTAGGCTGTCTCGCCTTCATAGACAATTTTTTTTTTAAAAAAGTGAAGTATTCAGAAACAATATACCAACACAAAATGAAAAGTGCAGGCAAAGACACACAGCATGGAATTTGTTCTGTGTTGGCCAGCTACTCCTGGGCATGGTTGATATTACTAGTGGCACTCCAGAAGCAAAACCTGATGTTCCCTTTTCCAGAAATTACCAATTAAAATAACTTTACAGCTAATGTTTAAATTTTAGTTCACTTCACTTTATGGGAATTGGAATTTTTGTTTGGGTAGAAGTTGTGCTGGTCTTGTGCATGCTATCATAGTCTCTATGAATTCACATATGAATCAATCAGGTTTTCTGGAAGATATTCTTTTTGTAGGAGTTATCTACCTCTGGCGATATATTGGTTATGCTTAATAAAGCCACTACAGATTAAAATGCAGAGCTAGCCACAGATCATGAGCAAGGCAGAAGTGACAGACATCTTACCAAAAGCCATGGTAGTTAACCATAGAAGACAAGTGATGGTGGCACACACCTTAATCCCAAGACTCAGGAGACAGAGGCAAAAGGATCTCTGTGAGTACAAGGCTACAATGGGCTACATGAGAGTGAGTCTATCTAAAGAATAACAGAACACAGGCCTTTAATCCCAGGACTTGGGATCACATTCATTAGGCAGGTGGAAACAGGAATTTTATAGGTGGACAGAGAAAGGAATATAAGGCAGGAGAAGACAGGAACTCAGGATTACAGCCTGAACCTTGGATGGGAGAAATGCAGACTGCATTGTACTCTGAGGATTCCTGGAGTCAGGATTGCCTATTCAGTTTCATAGAGGTAAGAGCTACTGGCTTGGCTGTTTTCCTTTTCTAATCTTCAGATGGAACCCCAATATCTGTCTATTTCCAAATCGTCTTTTGCAAATTCTCTAGGTCTGGAGGAGAGGGGTTTCACAAATAAAATATATGTAGTATGACCTCCTTAAACATGGATAAGCTAAAGCATAATCCAGCAGGCCCCACCTGTTGTCCCTCTTGTTTTTGCACAATCTCACCCATGAGTTCTTCTATCTTGATTCATTAATTTTTGTATAAATTTATGGCTTTCCCATTTCTGAAAATCCATCCCCCTAATCTGTACCAGTTACATATGATTTCTCTGTCAGATAAGTTATAGGCAGGTTTTCATGCATTTCCTTGGAAGCATACAGATATTCCTCACTGATCTTCACTAATCCTAAGTTTATGACAAACTTTCTTTTCCATTCTAGTTTGTGCTCTTTCTGTAATTTTTGTTTTGTTTTGCCTTGTAATTTTCTGAAATTTTATATTTCTACTGTATTGGGAGAGTTGTGCAGCATATGCTTCTTTCTAGACATCAATATTCACCAATATGCCACTTTGGATCAGTCTGCCTAGGAAATATGGAAAGGGATGGCTTCCTGTGCCATCTAAGAAGGAGCTCATTGAGGTTATACCTGTGTCCACAGTATGCATGGGAGAAGCCACTGGATGAAGAGATCTTCACAAATTCAGTCTACATATTAGACCCAGAACAACAAGTATTTCTGACCTTGATCAGAAAGTATGTATTGATCACAACCTGGGATGAGTCTATGGACACAGACACAATAGACCTGAACCAGATCAATGTTTTGGTACCAAGGTAATTGTAGCCTTGTAAAAGAGTTTATCAATGTCCCTTCTGCTTCTATTGTGTGAAACAATTTGAGGAGTATTGGTATTAGTTCCTCTTTGAATTTCTGGTAGAATTCTGACCTGAAAATATCTGGCTCAGTGTGGTTTATAGGTTCCTCTGAAAAATCTGGACACTGAGCTGACAACACAACTACCTATCTCTTTATGACTGTTAATGATTAAACAGGACAGCAGCTGGTGACACTGTGGTCCCTTGGGCAGCCTCAAGCAGGAAGTGATACCCAGACATTTGAGGGTATACTCACCAAAGAATGGATTTGGTTAGCCAAGAAAAATTTGCATGAAGAGAACCATCAGTTCTCTGAGAATTGTTGAAGAATAAGAGAGACCTACATCATGTCTGTCTCAGCACAGCTCAGTGGTGTCTACACTATGGCCTGGATTCCTCTCCTCTTCTTCCTCCTTCATTGCACAGGTCAGGAGTCATATGCACCCTTATCCCAGTTCAGGGAAACTGTGTGACAATCAGACACATTCCTCTCTTCTGTTACCTGAGTATATAATGTGTTTCTCTTTTTCCAGGGTCTTTCTCCCAACTTGTGCTGACTCAGTCACCCTCTGCCTCTGCCTCTCTGGGAGCCTCAGTCAAAATCTCCTGCACCTTGAGTAGTCAGCACAGCACCTACACCATTATTTGGCTCCAGCAACATCCAGACAAGGCTCCTAAGTATGTGATGTATCTGAGTAGTGATGAAAGCCACAACAAGGGGGATGGGATCCCTGATCGCTTCTCTGGCTCCAGCTCTGGGGCTCATCGCTACTTAAGCATCACCAACATCCAGTCTGAAGATGAAGCTGACTACTACTGTGTTTCAAGAGATAGCAGTGGGTGACCACAGTGAATGACATAAATGAGGAAGCAGAACAGGAACTGTTTTGCTGTATTGTTAATTAGTTTATCAGATAGTAGTGAGTAGGAATATCTGTAATACTTAGCTATCACATTCATGGTTGTTTACTGCTTAATACTCAGGAGATAGGCTGTAGGTCAAGCACTTCCTCATGAACTTCTACAGTAAGAGGTGAAAAAGCCAGGGTTTGCATAGAATGCACTACTCTGTAACAAAAATGACTATGAAAAATTAAAAATAGTGTGCATACAGGTGAGGCTCCCAATGTTACCTCATCAAGATAATAGGAATCTCTATTACTCAAAAGATAGCATTCTCATGGAAGGTACCCTTGAGCGAATTGGTAGAGGAGATCGCTTCCTGAATCCAAACCCAGGAGTGCAGACACTGAGATTGACAATTAATAAATGGGACCTCCTAAAACTGAGAAGCTTCTGTAAGGCAAAGGACACAGTCAAGAAGACAAAATGGCAACCCACAGAATGGGAAAATATCTTCACCAACCCCACAGCTGACAGAGGGCTGATCTTCAAAATATTCAAAACAATCAAGAAGCTACCTACCAAAACACCAATTAATCCAACTTAAAAGTGGGGTACATAAATAAATAGAGAATCCTCTTTTATGTATATTTTTATTGAAAAAGTTTCGTTTACATGTCAATCTCAGTTCCCTCTCCTCCTCCCCTAACCAGACCCCCTATTCTAAACCCTTTATGCTCCCCAGGGAGAGTGAGTCATTCCATAGTGGATCTTTAAAGTCTATCATACCATTAGGAGCAGGGGCTACACCCTTCCCCATATGACTAGGCTGAGAGAGTATTCCTATATGTGGAGTAGGCTTCCAAAGTCCATTCATGTACTAGGGATAAATACTGATCCACTACCAGAGGCCCCATAGATTGTCCAGACCTCCAAAATGACATCCTCATTCAGAGGGTCTGGAACAGTCCTATGCTGGTTTCCCAGCTATCAATCTGGGGAGAGCATTCCCTTGTTCAGATCAGCTGTTTCTGTTGGTTTCTCCAGCCTGATCCTGATCCCTTTGCTCATCATTCCTCCCTCTAAACAACTGGATTCCAGAGTTCAGTTCAGTGTTTAGCTGTGGGTGTCTGCTTCTGCTTTCATGAACTACTGGGTTAAGGCTCTATCATAGCATATAAGGTAGTCATCATTCTCATTATAGGATAAGGGCATTTAAGGTAGCCTCTCAACTATTGCTTAGATTGTTAGTAGGGGTCAAACTTGTAGATCACTGGATTTTTCCCTAGTGCAAGAATTCTCTTTAAGCCTATAGTGGCTCCTTCTATTATGGAATCTCTTTTCTTGCTCTCCTCTATTCTTCCACTGAGTAACTCTTCCTGGTCCTTCATGTCTTCGTCTCCCATACTCGTCTCCCCTTCTTTTTCTTCTAGGTCCCTCTTCCATGCCCCATGCTCCCAATTAGCTCAGGAGATCTTGTCCATTTCCCCTTCTCTGGGGGAGCATGTATATCTCTCTTAGGGTCCTCCTTGTTTCCTAGCATCTCTGAAATTTTGGACTGTAGGCTGGTAATCATTTGCTCTATGTCTAAAATCTATATATGAGTGAGTATATTCAATGTTTGTTTTTCTGTGACTGTGTTACCTCACACAGAATAGTTTCTTCTACTTCTGTCCTTTGAATTTCAACATTTCATTGTTTTTCCCCCACTGAGCAGTACTCCATTGTGTAAATGTACCACATTTTCGCCATCCATTCTTCAGTTGAAGAGCATCTAGGTCACTTCCAGGTTCTGGCTATTACAAATAATGCTGCTGTGAACATGGTTGAACAGATGCCCATGTTGTATGAATGTACATCTTTTGGGTGTATGCCTAAGAGTGGAATTGCTGGATCTTGTGGTAGACTGATTCCCATTTTCTTGAGGAACCACCATACTGATTTCCAAAGTGGCTGTATGAGTTACCACTCCCCCCACAAATAGAGAAGTGTTCCCCTTTCTCCCCATCCTCTGCAGCATAAGCTATCATTGGTATTTTTTTAGTTTAGTCATTTTGACAGGAGTAAGATAGCATCTCAGAAATGTTGTGATTTGCATTTCCCTAATGTCTAATGCTGTTGAGCACTTTCTTATGTATCTTTAAGCCATTTTAGATTCTTCCATTGAGAATTGTCTATGAAGTTCTGTACCCCACATTATGACTGGGTTATTTGGAGTTTTAGTGACTAACTTCTTTAGTTTTTGTATATTTGGGAAATGAGCCTTCTCTCAGATGTGGGATTGATGAATATCTTTTCCCATTCTGTGGGATGCTTTTTGATTTGTTAACTGTGCCGTTTGCCTTACAAAAGCTTCTCAGTTTCAGGAGATCCCATTTATTTGTTGTGTATCTCAGTGTCTATGCTACCGGTGTTATGTTCAGGAAGCTTTCTCCTGTACCAGTTCGTTCGAGGGTGCTACCTACTTTCTCTTCTAAAAGGTTCTGTGTGGCTGGATTTATGTTGAAGTCTTTGATCCATTTGAACTTATGTTTTGAACATGGTGATAGACATGGATATATCTGCAGTCTTCTGAATTCCAGCATCCAGTTATTCCAGCACCATTTGTTAAAGATGCTTCCTTTTTTCCATTGTACAATTTTAGCTTCTTGTCAAAAATCAGATGTTGACAGATGTGTTGGTTAATATCAGGATTTTCAATTCAATTCTATTTGTCTACTTGTCTATTTTTGTGCCTATACCAAGCTGTTTTGAGGACTATAGCTCTATAATAGAGTATGAAGTCAGGGATGATGATGCCTCCAGACATTCCTTTATTGTACAGAGTTGGCATGGCTACCCTGCTTCTTTTGTTTTTCCATATAACGTTGAGAATTCTTCTTTCTATGTCTATGAAGAATTGTACTGGGAATTTGACAGGAATTGCAATGAATCTGTAGATTGCTTTTGCAACATTGCCATTATTACTGTGTTGTTCCTATATATCCAAGAGCATGGGAGATCTTTCCATTTTCTGGTATCTTCTTAATTTGTTTCTTTAAAGACTCAAAATTTTTTACTCTACAGGTCTTTCAAATGTTTGGGTAGAGTTGATATTTTATGCAGTTTGTGTGTATTGTAAAGGGTGATGTTTCTCTGAATTCTTTCCCAGCCCATTAATCGTCTGTATATAGTAGGGCTACTGATTTTTTGAGTTGATCTTGTATCCTGCCACTTTGGTGAATGTGTTTATCAGCTGTAGGAGTTCTCTGGTAGAGTTTTCTAGCCACTTATGTAACCTATCATATCATCTACAAATAATGAAAGTTTGACTTCTCTTTTCCAATTTGTAACCCCTTGGTCTCCTTGTTGTCTAATTGCTCTAGATAAAACTTCAAGTACAATATTGAAGAGGTATGAAGAGAGTGGACATCCTTGTCTTGTCCCTGATTTCAGAGGAATGGCCTTGAGTTTATTTCCATTTAGTTTGATGTTGTATGTTGGTTTACTGTATATTCCTTTTATTACGTTCATGTATGTTCCTGTTATCCCTGATCTCTCCAATTCCTTTATCATGAAGGGGTATTGAATTTTGTCAAAGGCTTTTTCAGCATCTAATGAGATGATCACATGGTTTTTCTTTCTCGGTTTGTTTATATGGTGAATTACATTGATGGATTTTCATATGTTGACCTATCCTTGCATTCCTGGGATGAAGCCTACTTTATCATGTTGGATGATTTTTCTGATGTGTACTTGGATTTGATTGCCAATATTTTATTGAGTATTTTTGCATCAATGTTCATGAGGGATATTGGTCTGTAGTTTTCTTTCTTAGTTGTGTCTTTTTGTGGCTTGGTTAGCAAAGTTATTGAAGCCTTGTAGAAGGAGTTTGGCAATAACCTTTCTGCTTCTATTGTGTGGAATACTTTGAGGAGAATTGGTATTAGCTGTACTTTGCATTTCTGGTAGAATTCTGCACTGAAGACATCTGAACCTAGGCTTTTTTTGGTTGTAAGACTTTTTGATGACTGCATATAGTTCATTGTGGGTTATAGGCCATATCTGTTCTTGATTCTATTTTTTAAGTAAAATCTATCCGGAAAATTGTCCATTTCCTTTAGTTTTTCCAATTTGAGGATTATAGGTTTTCAAAATTTTACCTGATTATTCTCTAGATTTCCTCAGTGTCTAGTGTTATGCCCCCTTTTCATTTCTGATTTTATTTATTTGCATGTTCAATCTTTGCTGTTGGTAAGTTTGGATAAAGGTTTGTCTATCTTGTTGATTTTCTGGAAGAACCAACTCTTTGTTACATTGATTCTTTGTATTGATTTCCTAGTTTATACTTTATTGATTTCAGCACTCAATTTGATTATGTACTGGCATCTACTCCTCTGGGGTGCATTGGTTTCTTTGTGATCCTGAGGTTTCAGTTGTGCTGTTAATCTCTAGTGTGACTATTCTCCAGTTTCTTCATGTGGGCACTTAGTGCTATGAACTTTCCTTTGGCACTACTTTCAAAGTGTCCCATAAGTTTGGGTATGTTGTTTCCTGATTCTCATTGAATTCTAGGATGTCTGTAATTTCTTTTTTATTTCTTCCTGGACCCAGGGATGGTGCAATTGGGCATAATTCAATTTCCATGAGTTTGTAGGTTTTCTGCAATTTGTGTTGTTGTTGAATTCTAACTTTAAAGCATGGTGGTCTGATAAGATACAAGTGATGTTATTTTAATTTTTTATACCTGTTGAGGTTTGCTATGTTGCTAAGTATGTGGTTGATTTAAGGGAAGGTTACATGTGACACTGAGAAGAAGGTGTATTCTTTTGTGTTTGGATGGAATGTTCAATAGATGTCTGTTAAACACAATTGGGCCATAACTTCTATTAGTTTCTTTTGTTCTTTGTTAAATGTCTGTCTGGTGTTCCTGTCTAGTGATAAGAGTGGGGTGTGCAAGTCTCCCACTATAAGTGTGTGTAGTTTTATATGTGATTTGAGTTTTAGTAATGTTTTTT